TGGGGCCGCGGAATTAATAGAATTAAATGAATTAATGGGGGTGTGGCCAAATAGACCCCAAAGGCCCTCTCTCATATATATATATATACATATACGCATGTACGTACATGTGCATACATATGTACATACATATATGCATACATATGTACATACATATATACATACATATGTACATATATATATATATATACACATATAAATACATATATATAGAGAGAGAGCCTACAGTTATGTCCACTCCAAGGCAGCATGATTAGGATGATATGGGGGTCCTGATTAGTCTATGTAGTATACCTGGACCCACCCTAGACCGCAAACCCTAACACGGCCCAACGGTTTAGGGTTAAGAACAGGTATGTTGCACTGCTTTTTAATTAGGAGCCCTAAGGAATAGTATTGGTGACCATGGCGGCCTCTGCATTAATCTTCGTTAAGTCTGACAACTCCCTACCTTCAACCCCCAAGGTGGTACTGTAATGCCAGAGACAGCCTCACAATTACACCTTCATTCATGCATGACTTCTCCTTACATGGAGGACGTAAACCCTACATCCGAATGCTCCTCAAGCAAGGGTTTTTTGGGCTCGGAGGGCTTGGGGTTTGGGGTTTTGAGTCAGGGTTTAGGGTCAGGGCTTGGGGTGTTAGGGTTTAGGGTGTAGGGTTTAGGGTTTAGGGTTTAGAGTTGGGGTTTAGGGTTTAGGAGGGTTTGGGGGCGGTCTTGCAGGCAGCTCCCGATGTCTACAGCCTGAGCTCCGCGATGAGTGCATGCCAGAGGGCTGGACAGTGGCAGCGGGCGCTCGACCTTCTTTTCAACACGTCTGCTACACTTTCGGTGACCCCGAACCAGGTGACTTGGGTCGGAGGGTTCCTGTAACTGTAAGGGTACCATCATAAGTTATAAGGGTTTAGGGTTTAGGGTTTAGGGTTTGGGGGGGGTGTAAGGGTCCCTTCACCCGAATAATATATGCTTTGGCCTGAAAGGTAGTCCCTATTTCGGTACTTTGGTGTCGAAGTATATACTATTTGGGGTACATGGAACCCTTAAAGGAGTTATAAGTACCCTAAATGGAGTTACCCCAATTATAACCCTACTTATAACCGCCTTACCTGGGCCTCTCCCCTAGAGCCTACTTCCAAAACCCTAAACCCAAAAACCCTAAACCCTAAAACCCTAAAGCCCTAAACCCTAAACCCTAAACCCAAAGGCTATTAAGGCCCCCATTAAACAAAAGGTGAGCTTATTATAGTAAAGTATAGTATACCCCAAAAATCCTATTCAGGTGAGCCCTAAACCCTAAACCCCTAAACCCTAATCCCTAAACTCCTAAACCCTAAACTCCCCACCTGTAGTTTCCTTCCCTAAACCCTAAACCCTAAACCCTAAACCCTAGACCCTAGACCCTAAACCCTAAACCCTAGACCAGGTGAGCTTCAATGCGGCCATGAGCGCTTGTGGAAGTGAAGGCTGCTGGGAGATGGCGCTTTCTATCCTTCAGCACATGGCCTCGAGGCTGCTTGGGTCTACCCTACAATCCTAAGGTTTCCATTAGGGCTTTATAGGGGTTTAGGGTTTAGGGTTTAGGGTTTAGGGTTTAGGGCTTAGGGGTTTAGGGGTTTAGGGCTTAGGGTAATCCCCATTGTAGAAACCTTACATTCTTTCTCTCCTTCAGCACATGGCCTCGAGGCCCGCGGAGTGTCCTACGGTTTTTCCATGTTTTGGGTTTAGGCCTAAGGTTTCTATAGTAGGGTTTGGGGTTTAGGGTATTATAGTGGTTTAGGGGTATAGGGTGGTATAGGGGTTTAGGGTTTAGTGTACTATAGGGGTTTCGGGTTTAGGGTATTATAGGGGTTTAGGGTTTGTGGGTATTATAGGTGTTTAGGGTTTAGGGTAATTCCCATTATAGAAACCCTACATTCTTTATCTTCTTCAGCACATGGCTTCAAGGCGGCTTGGGTTTACCCTAACGTTCCCGATGCTTTTGAATCCTAAACCCTAAACCCCTGTAATCCCCTAAACCATGAACTTTCAGAATACCCTTAACCCTGATCCCTAAATCCCCATAGCACCCTGAACCCTAAACCCACTTTGGGACCCACAAATCTCGGAGCTCTGAGACCCCAAAGAGGCCCGAGAGCCCTTCTAGGAGGTTGGGCGTCCCCTCCCGGGCAGATACCAGGACGCTTACTTGGAGGGTCAGGGGACTTAGTAACTTGCTTATAAGTAGAGTTACAAGTGCCCCAAATGGAGCTACCCCAACTATAAGCCTACTTATAACCGACTTATTAAGTCCCCTGCCTCTAAGTAGGGTAGGAGTTTCGGGTTTAGGCTTTTGATGTTTACCCTAAGGCTCAAAATGGCCCAAAAGCCTTATATAGTATGGTCTTAGGGCCCAAAAGCCTTATACTATAAGTCCTTAGAGCCTTAGGGTTTGGGGATTTTCTGGATGGCCGTTCTGGAAGCTTACATTCCGCTTCTCCTCTGCATTGTCTCGGCAACGGCCTCAGACCTGTAAACTTTAAGCTCTAAACCCCTAAAGCCTAGATCCCCAAGCCCCGAAACCCTCAACCCCAAAGTAATCCTAAGTATAAACTTCTGCGAAACGTCCGGAAGTCGGCCGAGGCGGTGTCCTTTCGACGATGTCAGCTTCAACGCTTCCATCAGCGCATGTGAACGGGGCGGGCAGTGGACAGTAGCCTTGCAGCTCCTGAACCTAGGCTATGTTCCTCAACTGTAGGGTTTAGGGTTTGGGGTATTAAAACCGACTAGCGAGACAAAGGGTACCCGTATTGTAAAGGGGCTATTCAGAAACCTAGTAGGGAACATATCAGCGTTTGGGGTTTGGGCTTTATATAATCCTGCTCGATTGCAAAAACTGTCCCGCAGGGTTCTATACTATAGTTATACTATAATGTATCCTATGTTGTACTTCTTTTTATGTCCACTAGCAGTACTATTTTCATTGCTGGTTCTTTTCAGGATTATAATAATTGCTGCTTTTACTTTTTTAGTATCATTATTGCTATTCATACTGGTGTTGCTGTTCTTGTTTTGTGACATTGGCTTTATTGTCATTAGTTCTATATCTGTCGTTATAGTTGTTATTGTCATTATTGCTTTGACTATTCTCACGGCTATTACTGTTACTGCTACTACGACGACGACTACGACTACTACGACTATTGATCTCATTATTACTATTCGTATTCTTACTATTACTATGATTACTATCGTTACTATGATTGTTGTGTTTATGCTGACTTTATCAATACTGCTACTGTTATTCGTCAGCATTACTGTTTTTTATTACCAACTGTTCACTATTCTTTTTTATTGCTTAGACATTATTACTATTCTGTATATTTGATTTCAGGAGTATTAGTGTTGCTGCTCTTATTCTTCGTGTTTGATTGCTAGCTACTACTACTACTACTACT